TGCAATCAAGTTTTAATTAAACATCCTATCAATGGTTTCGTCTACTTTCTGAAATTTTAACTTTCTTGCAAATAGCAAGTTGCAATGACGAAGGCTTCCCGATTCACTGTAACTTTCTCTAAAGAGAGCTAGATAAACTTTGAAGTCCATGCATGAATCAAAATCTCTGAATAAGGATTTTTTTATTGTTAATTATTAACTGATTCAACTATAAAATGGATTATTAATTAATTAATCAATTAATTATTTATTAATTAATCAATTCGGGCGACCAACCTGGAAGGCTGGGCGACCTACTTGTCATGGTTAGGCGCCCCTTGTTATAGAGCACAGCCTTGCAGTGTCACTTGTATTTCTGAAGAGACCTTGCATATCACTGTGTCTACAAGGTAATCTGGATCTTAAAGCAGGAGGGAGGAAGGGTCCTGCAGAGCCCACTCAACATGTCCCTTTTTCTTGTCCACAAGGTGGGTCATATGCAGTTCTGGGACTCTCCTAAACCATGTCCTTGCATCAAGCCTGGCTCAAAAGCTATTATTTACTTTTTACTTTTTCTGTGTAGCTTCTGCCAATCGAAGAACATTCCTGGCTTGCTGAACTGTTGGCATGTCAATCATGTTGCCATGGAAATTAATGGCACCCTTTTTAAAGAGAAAAACAAGGAGATGAAATGAAGTTTCCAAAGTAAATTTTATACCTACTTAGCTTTCTTGCCTACTTTGCTTTACATCTCAGATCAAACTGACCTTTCCAACTCTTTCTTGTTCCTCAAAAGCATTTACCAGATCTCTTGCCCATTTAACCTTCTCTTCACTTGGTGAAAATGCCTTGTTAACAATTTCAATCTGTCCTGGGTGTATTATTTGTTTACCTGTTTGCACCAAATGATACAAGAAAATGGTTTAACCCTTTAATTCCCAAGATCTTATTTGTTAATTCTCCCTTCTAGCTGCCTCACATTTCCTTGTAAATTAGTTATAAGAACATGGTGCTAGATCAAGATAGCAGC